ATGTTGCATCGTCTGCCGAGTGTTTTGCTTTTGTAGGGAGTGATTTTCATGTGCAAGTTTGGTACTAGTCCCTCTAGGATTTTCCAGGTGTATATAATCATGTATCTCCTCCGCCTGCATTCCTGGAGTACAGGTTCAGGAACTTCAAGCGCTCCCAGTAATTGAGGTGTTGTATCTCTGTTATTGGTGCCGTGAAGGATCTCTGTACATTTTCTAGGTCGACAATTTCACCTACCTTGAAAGGTGCTGTTAGTGTGCATCAATATTCCAGCCTAAATAGAACAAGCAACCTGAAGAGTGTCATCATGGGCTTGGCATCCCTAGTTTTGAAGGTTCTCATTATCCATCTTGTCGTTTTTCTAGCAGATGCGATTGATATAATGTTATGGTTCCTTGAAGGCGAGATCCTCCGACATGATCACTCCGAGGTCTTTGATGTTAGTTTTTCGCTCTATTGTGTGGTTGGAATTTGTTTTATACTCTGATGTAGTTTTAACCCTTTGACTGTTTCCGACGTATAAATACGTCTTACGGGCCAGTGTTTCTGGACGTATTTATACGCACAAATTCTAGGCGGCTTCCAAACCAAGAAGGGAAAGGCCTGGTAGCCTACATGAGAGAGAAATGGGTCTCAGTGGTTGGGTGCACTCCTGTGGAAAAAAATCTGGGACCCAGCGGTGCATTGTGGGAACGCCATGTTGTTAGTCCATTTTCACCATGCCTCTGGTAAGAAGTTCCTCACTCCTCGCTCTGGTGGCCTGTGGGTTAACGCTCTCTGTCTCGCTTCACATGGTATGTCCTGGGTATCGATTTCCCACCAGAGAGGAAACATTGGAACGTGTTTTCTTTCAACCTGTTTCAATGTGCCCCATCAGTAAAAATGGGTACCTGGTGTTTAGTCGACTGTGTGGGTCGCAACCTGGGACAACTGACCTAAGGAGGCCCTGTTCACCAGACCGGTGCAGCGGGGCGTTGACCCCCGGAACTTCTCTCACAGTAAACACCAGGTAAGTGGAGTAGCTCTAACAGCGATGAAAAAGTTCATGACAGTGAATTCCAGGTTTTGAAGTGAGTGTTACCGCAAAAGTGCCAGGATAACGTAATTAACTAATTAGTGATGAAAACCCAGATGACCCACAACCAATCCACCTCTGGTGCTGGGCCGGCTTTGTTCACAGTTCACGTTCCCTGTACCAGGACAAAGAGGAAACTATTTGTCGTGTACAACACCAGATGTAGCATGATTTGTATTCAAGGTCATTGAAAGCTGTTCTAGGACAGTGAAGTGAATATTCCCCAGGAAGCGCAGTATGTACGACGTAGCATGTGCGTCGGTAGTGTTTCATATGTTTGTTCCAATGGAAAGGAGAAACTCTGGGAGCAACCCGTGGCCCTACACCATGACCTGATAGTGAAGATGACGATATTGTAACGATGGGTATGAAGGACGTGAGTGATGGAGCAGGCCAGTGGTGGTGATAGTGAGGTTGGCACGGCCCATGTGGCACCATCATCGGGCCACGCTACTACCCAAGCTGCTGACTCTGCACAACAACCAGCCTCAACCCTACGCCCACACTGTATCCCACAACTGCCAACCACCACAACTGCACAACCACAACCTGCACAACCAACAACCATGGTACAATATCCAGGACCCCACCAGCAGACCGGCATCTTGGGATTGGCAGGATGGTGACAGTTTGTTCCCATCCCCCACGACTTTGATGAAACACACAAAGTGGATAAAGCCATCTTGTCCACTTGGGAGCAATGCAAGTGAACTGGAACTGCTTTGAGTTAATTCTTTCGATGAACCCCTGATGGACATCAATTGTCATGGAAACAAAACTACAAACTGTGATTACACATGCAAAAACAATTCTCTCAACCAAAATCACACGGCTAACAACAAGTGGAAGGAACAACTGTGGCAGAGATGTACCTGTTTTTTTCTGCCCACAATAATGCTTATGCCACATGTGTATAAACACACTGTCACCACATACTGGGCAACAGAACACCTGTATTTCAAACTCCAGGTTTTAGCGACATTATAGGTGTCAATCGTTCATTTGTGAACTGTTACGTATGTTACCACTTTTCAGACAAAACCAGGCCTGACAGATAGCGACAGGATATGAAGAACAAAATGTGTATATGTACCTTAAACATAAGTGCTGCTGTTTTTTTAACCCTTCAGGAAGCTTGTATTGATGAGTCCTTGATTTTATTTCAAAGGAGACTCTCGATTCAAGCAATATAAACCAAGCAAGAGGAAACGCTTTGGTATAAAGCTATTTGTACTGTGTGATTTGCAGAAGGGGTCCCTATTTTTGGATATCATTTGTGTACACTGGCATTAATACTTTAGAGATACCATGGAAGTTATTGGTCTCTCTGGTGATGGTGGTACTAACAATGATGGAACCCATATCCTAGGTAGGGGCATATGTTATTTACTGATACTGGTACACAAGCCATACTCAGTGAATTTCTTGCGAGCGAACTTACAGACTGTGTGGCACAGTGCGTCATAATCGTAAACATAATGCCAAGGTTCGACGGCTGGCGAACTCGCAGATGGTGAGTGCAAGCCCCTTTTTGCTGCCAATGCATCATGGCATTTCGGTGGCAGACAAACGTGATGTCACATTGTTGACATCCAGTTCACACAGAAACGAATGGTACCCAGTGGCAGGGACAACGAGAGACCAATGAACCCATTCTAAAGCCAGCATCTGATCATGGACTACAACCTCAATATGCGCTTAGTGGACAAATGTGACATGCCAGATTGGGTTTGCAGACTGTGTACGCCAAGAGTTATAAGTGTGTAAATAAAACTTTTTTTTCCATCTTGTTTTGATATCTCTATGCTAAATGCTTAATAACAAATACAAGTTGAAGATCAACCAAAACACCAAAATATGGTGAATTTTGCCTGTCAGTAATCAGACAAATAATTGCAAAGTACAAGGAGCAACTCCTGCCAATAGACCAGCGCCACACACGCCATCACCGTTTCAGCCGGGTGATCACTACTCCATACAACTGCCTCCTACTACTGCCAAGAAAAATGCTCAGAAGAGGTGTTATGTATTACGCATACCACAAACGCCCACAAACAACGCAGAGACTTCGTTTTATGTGAGAGAGTGTTAAGTGCCCCTCTGCATATACCATGTTTCAAAGAGTTCCACAAGCTGCAGGCATTCTAGAATGTGTTTAGTGACTGTACATATGTATATTAGTTATGGAACATATAAAATAAACATAGTTTTGTATTGTTTTGTGAAACAAAGTGAATACACAAACTAAAAGTGATAAAGTTTTGTTCTGTTATTTGTTGTAAACAATGAGTTGTATAGTTGAACAATGCACCTTACATTGGTCTCACAGGCCACATACGTTACCTGGAATAGAAAAATATTGAAAAATGCAAGAAACCTTTGAATAAGAGTAAATAAAAGAATACCGGGTGGGCGGCAGTCGCCGCTGTTGCCGTACGCACGTCACTTTCTGCAAACTTTGCGGCTCTATATCTCAGTAAGTACTGATGGCAAAGAATTTTTTATTAGGCTTAAAACACTCACAAAAATATTCCTAACATTTTCATAAGAAAAAATAATTTTTTTTTTCGAATATTTGGCGACATAGAATGACAGTTTCAGAGAGGGGCCTGAAACAGTCAAAGGGTTAATTTCCTCACGTTTACCATATTGGAGTAATTGAAATTTCTCATCGTTGAACTTCATATTGTTTTCTGGAGCCCATTGAAAGATTTGGTTGATGTCAGCCTGGAGCCTTGCAGTGTTTGCAATGGAAGACACTCATGCAGATTTGGGTATCATCTGCAAAGGAAGACACTGTGCTGTGGCTTACATCCCTGTCTATGTCAGATAGTGAGGCTGAGGAACAAGATGGGAGTGAGTACTGTGCCTTGCAGAACAGAGCTTTTCACCGTAGCCGCCTCAGACTTTACTCTGTTACTACTACTCTGTGTTCTATTTGTCAGGAAATTATAGATCCATCTACCAACTTTCCCATGTTATTCCTTTAGCACGCATTTTGTGTGCTATTATACCATGGTCACACTTGTCGAAGGCTTTTGCAAAGTCTGTGTATATTACATCTGCATTTTTTTCATCTTCTAGTGCATATAGGACCTTGTCGTAGTGATCCAGTAGTTGGAACAGACAGGAACGACCTGCTCTAAACCCATGTTGCCCTAGGTTGTGTAATTGATTGGTATCCAGATGGGTTGTGATCTTGCTTCTTAGGACCCTTTCAAAGATTTTTATGATATGGGATGTTAGCGCTATCAGTCTGTAGTTCTTTGCTATTACTTCACTGCTCCTTTGTGGAGTGGGGCTATGTCTGTTGTTTTTAGTAACTGTTGAGGTAAAAAAAAAAAATAGTTAAGGGTGAGATAAGTTAGTATGTGACATTTAACTGAATCATTGTCATTATGTACTTCAGTAAATATTGCTGCATGAAGTCAACTGTTATAGGTAGTAGGTTGGTAGACAGCAACTGCCCAGGGAGGTACTTCTGTCCTGCCAAGTGAGTGTGAAACAGAAACCTGTAATTTTTTTACATGATGGTAGGATTGCTGGTGTTTCTTTTCTCATAAACATGCAAAGTTTCAGGTACGTCTTGCTACTTCTGCTTACACTTAGGTCACACTACACATGCATGTACTAGCATATATGTGTATACAAACCCCTCCGGGTTTTTCTCTATTTTCCTCCTCGTTCTTGTTTATTTCCATGTATCTTCCAAGTGGAACATAAGAGGAGACTAAAATGCCGGAAGCAAGTATATATTACTAATTTTAAAAAGAGAAACTTTCATTTTTCTTTTTGAGCCACCCTGCCTCAGTGGCATACGGCTGGCTTGTTGAAAGAAATCAACTGTGGGAAGAAAAAGTTTACACTGAGAATAATTAGGGCCAGATTGATAATACAATACATACAGCTTTATTTTCTAATTTGCAGGTAACACAGCGTATCTCAGAGAGGTTCCAAGAACTGCAGATGTTAATGAATGAAAATGCATTAGCAGCAACACAAAAACTGGGAAAGCTGCCTGGTGCATAGGTTCAGTTATATAATAGAAATTAATATTCATTTGACTTGTTTTCAAACTTTTATATAAATTGTATATTGTTTCTTACTATTAATGTATAAAGTTTTACAAATGCCACATGATGTAATATTACAGTAAAATTAATGTAAAAAGTACAATTAGTATTGTTGGAGTTGGTAGACATGTATAGATGAAGTTAAAATTTAAGCTGTACAGTATCTGAGTAAAGTATTCATTAACACTAAAACAGAGAGGGTGTAACACAAAAAAAACTCAGCTTATAATGCCATGTAGCAAAGAATGATTTTCAGATACCCTGTAAAAAAAAATGTTGGGCCAAATATTGAAATGGGACTAATGTTAAGCAGTATAAGTATATTTAGAGGATGGTATTAAATGTTCCTGTTTTTCATAAAAATCTTTCATGAAATGATATACATTATAAATATTTTAGGGATGTAAGAATCAAGTTACTACTATTGTTTGATATGCAGATGAAAATGCATAAATAATTTTGTATCTTAATTATTAATACATTAATAATACAGTAAGGTGCTGACTTATGACGTTTTGCATTTTTGATAACTGTTCACATGTCAAATGTTCAGAACTTAGAATCTATTTTTACCATAGACAGCCATGTTATAATCAGAGATGCATTCCTGACCCTTAATATTATATGTTTAGTTTTATTTTTTGTATTAGCTAAGAAGACATTTACAGATACCTGTGGTACTAAACATTGAATGCCTCACTGAATATGCCCAGTACAGGGAAGCAGCTAGATTACTTCATACTCTAACCAAATAAAGTATGGGGTAACCTCAGTTTTTGTGATTAATTAGTTCCAGAAAATCCTGACGAAAACTGAAACAATATTTCCTACAAATACATAATGTAAATCCAATTAATCCATTCCAGACACGCAAAAATATTAAAAAAAAAAATACATTTTATAAAGAATAACTTTAGTTTTACATACAGAAAATGATGAGAAATATAAATGACTAATGAATTGGATAAATGAACATTTAATATCACTTTTACTTTTTTGAAGACTCTTGTTTGGGGTATGGAAGCGGCGAGGATGGATGGGGAAGAGAGGTTAGTGTTTTTAAAGGGGATTTCCCCTTTCCCTAAGGGCTTTTAAATATCAAGGGCCCCATCCGGGTTTCTTCCCTTCTTTGCTTTTACGGCACTAGGGCCCGCTTTTTGTCACGGGACCCTTCACACAAAAAAAACTGTCCCCGAGGGGTCTTTTTCTGGTTTTTTTAATTATTTTTATAATCAAAAAAAGCGCTAAGCCCCAAGGGCTATACCAGTGCCGCAGGTGTGTCTCTTAATGCCTTGTCCCATTTTAGGGCAAATCTTGTCATTGAACATGTTGTAGACACAGCTTGCCACAGCTTTGTTAGGGTGATATTTCTCTACAAAACTTTGCACACATGTCCTTAATCACTGAAGAAGGCACATTCTCCCCTCTCTCTTCCTCCTCTGAAGCAGTTTCCTCAGCTGCGATCTGTTGCTGCGGGGTGATGCTCATTCAATGATAAACAAAGGCAGACTGAGTCACTCAGCGCTTGAGTGGCCGAGTGACACAGGTGGACGCGTTCGGTACGGACCATCGTCAACTCTACAAAAACCGAGGTGATGTACGAAAACTGGGACAAAATTTAGAGGAAAAAGTCGTTGAAAACCGAATCCTACGAAAACTGGTGCGTACGAAAACCGAGGTTCCACTGTAATTATTTAATCTTCAAATTTTAACCAGTTCCTGCCAGGAAAAAAAAAAAGCTCCACACAAAAGCCTTGATAGTATGCTCCTAAGTGTAAATGCATCAAGTTATGTGTAAAATCGGAGATTTTCCCCTTCAACCCAAGTTGGATGAAAAGGTCAATTATTATTATTATAATAATGGGAAAGCGCTAAACCCATATGATTATACAGCACCTGTGGGGGGAAATGGAAGGCATTCAGGCTTAATTATGGGAACTGGAGCACAGATCCAGTTCTCTAGATCAAAAACCCCTCACCAGCATCAAAGAACCTCCCTTGAGGGGATGAAAAGGTCAAGTGTTTGGAGAGGTACAGTTGCTTTCTTGGAGTGTCACATGCCTTAAACAGACTTGAGTATCAAATTATTTTGAATCTTTTTGTCACCCCTTAACATGTCTCTGGACATTAACCAGGTGGTGATGTAGAAGGTACCAATTTGAAGAATAAGAGTAAAGTTCTGACAGTATTAAAGAAGAATTTTTTTTGATATGCTGAGAGGTGGTACATGTGTGATGCAGACTGCCTGCACTTTTGATCTTTAGAGAATCCACTATCTTTGCAACAAAGGAACCACAGCCATCCATCTTAGCTCTGTAGGGCTATGTCAATGCTCTCCACATGTCGACAATGACAACTAGAATATAAAGAAAGATAAATAGTAATTTGTACCTGGTAACCCTATTTTTAACATATATTCTAAACTTATTACTAATTTCCATAAGATACCTTTTTTCAGGAACATACCTCACAAAGTATGAGAAGCTTTACTGTACTTATAATTAACCCCTAAGAAATTTGAAAATATTAAATTTATAGTAATTTCTGCCAGACAAATGTGAGATCTCCATTCATGCATAAAATGAATTCTCATTAGGTATTGATGCATTTAGTTAAAGAAAATGTTTGAATATTTGTAATGCTTAACAGATCAGTTATGACTGTTAAGGTTCCAAAGTGCCAGTGTCATGAGTGCAAAACATCACAAGTTGGGGTCCTACTGTGTAGTTTAATAAATATATAAAAGTATTAGTCGTTACTAAGTGATGTGAATTAGTCTCTCGAGTATTACTGTAGAAACTCTCATTAGCCAGAAATTGATAACTCAAGTGATCCTGAACCCAGTTATTTTCAATGATATGTCTCTTCTGCAAATACAGCATATACATACATGTATATGTTTCTAAATATCAGTAAAGTATGTCAATATGTAGATAGTTGCTTGAATAAATTTATTGTACTGTATCAGCATTAACTTTATACTGTATAAACAACAAGCAGGTTTGTAAATGAAGACAAGTAGATGACTTGGAATACTAGTAATAATTAATATAATAATTATCATTATTTATTGGTCATTAACCACATCTATACATTACTGCATTCTAAAAGATTTTTGTACAGTACATGTACAACAATGATTTTCCAGACACTGATGGTCCAGAACCATACAAATTTATGAGCAGGAACTTTAAGTTCCCGCAGCAGTGTATTTACCACTAAACTGTACATCACTTATCCAACCACAAGACCAAGGAATACTGCACTTTCTAAAGGGGAAAATATCAGTAAGCATGAAGGCTTTGGAATCAAAGGTCTGGAATATTAATGTTATACAGTGGACTGTAATCCGTTCCAGAAGACTGGCCTAAAACCGAAATGGCTGATAACTGAAATAATTATTCCCATAAGAATTAATGTAAATACGATTAATCCGTTTCAGACACCCAAAAATATTCACAAAAAATACATTTTTTAGAGATTAATTATAGTTTTACATACACAAAACAGTGAGAACTAAATAAAATAAATACACAAACAATTAAATCAGCATTACATACCTTTATTGAAGACTGTTGTTGGCTTATGGAAGATAGGGAAGAGGAGAGTTCATTGTTTGGAAGGGGAATCCCCTTCTCTAAAGACTTCAGGTATCAAAGCCCTATCTAGGGTTACTTCCCTTCTTTATCTTTTAATGCCACTAGGACCAGCTTCAGTGTCACTGGACCCCTGTTGCACAAAATATCTGTCCAGAGAGCTCTGTTTCTGGCATCTCTAAGATTTCCCTGAAGTGGGACAAGGTTCTGTCACTGAACCTGTTGCAGATGTAGCGTGTTTCAGCTTGGTCAGGGTGATATTTCTCAGCAAAAGCTTGCACCCTAGTCCACATTGCACATGTCTCCTTAATCTCGAAGAAGGCACCTCCTTCCCTCCCTCTTCCTCCTTCTCTGAAGCAAGTTCCTCAGCTGTGGTCTGTTGCTGTTCCAGATGAAGCTCTTGCAGCTCTTCAGTGGTTAGCTCTTCCCTGTGGTCCTGCACCAACTCTTCCACATCCTCACCTCTAACCTCCAACCCTGTGGACTTGCCCAGAGATACAATGGATTCCACAACAGGCATAGCATCCTCAGGGTCAGCCTCAAACCCTTTTGAATCCCTCTCTTGGACACATTTTGGCCACAATTTTCTCCAAGCAGAGTTCAAAGTCCTGGAAGTCGCTCCTTCCCAAACCTTACCTATAAGGCTTATGCAATGGAGGATATTGAAGTGATTCCTCCGGAACTCTCTTAGGGTCAAATTTGTGTGTCTGAGGTCACCTCAAAGCGCCTTTGAAATACTGTTTTGGTGTACAGTTTTTTGAAGTTAGAAATGACCTGCTGGTCCATGGGCTGGATGAGAGGAGTGGTGTTAGGAGGCAAGAACTTCACTGTGATGAAATGGAATTCCACAGACAATAGGTCTACCAAGTTTTGAGGATGAGCAGGAGCATTGTCCAGTATCAGGAGGCACTTTAGTGGCAATTTATATTCCAGGAGGTATTTTTTCACACTCGGGCCAAACACGTCATTCACTCGCTCTTTGAAAATTTGCCTTGTGATGCATGCATTATTGTTAGCCCTCCACATCACACACAATTTAGTCTTGAAAACATTGTTTCTTGAACACTGGAATTTTCAGAGTGATACACCAGTAAAGGCTTCACTTTGAAATCCCCAGTAGTGTTAGCACAGAAAAAAAAGAGTAAGCCTGTCTTTCATAGGCTTGTGTCCAGGCAGGGCCTTTTCCTCCTGCATAATGTAGGTCCTCTTTGGCATTTTCTTCCAAAACAGGCCTGTTTCTTCACAACTGAACACTTGTTGGGAGGAGGAATCCTTTAGCCTCTACATACGCCTTGAAATCTTGCACAAATTTTTCAGCCGCACATCTATCATAACTTGCAGCCTCTCCACACCTTACCACACTGTGTATGCCACTATGCTTCTTAAATCTCAAACCAGCCTTCGCTAGCCCTAAATTCACTAACAGAAGCACTTGTTCCAGGCATTTTATTTACAAGATCTACAAACAACTACTTTGGGCCTTCTCAAAAACCCAAATCCCCTACACAACACTATCCCCCACAAATTGTTTTTTCCCCTGACCACAACAATAACTTTTCCAATCTTCCCTTATTGGTGCCCTTTTTGGTTCCTTATCACACCCTTTTTCAAAACCCTAAACTTCCTTGTTTTGTTTTTTCTTTTTGCCAGGTTTAAAGGGAAAAGGTGGGAATTTTTTTTTTTTTCCCATACTTCCGGGGAATTTTCCAACACTCGCTTTGCCACTCTAAAATTTTTTAAATTTGTTTCCCTCTTTTAACCCCTTTTTAAAGGACCCAGAGCCAAATTTCAAATTTTTCACCGGGGTCCAAAAATTTTAAATTTTTTTTTTTTTTTATTTTTTTTTTTTATAAAAATGGTAGAGAATTTTTTTCTGAAGGTTTTTTTTTTTTCCTGCCTTAAAATTTTGGGCATGAAAAATTTTAAAAGGGACACAAGGAAAACAAAATGGCATTTATGTGGAAAACGTTTGGGCTCCCCCGGAGCTTTTATCAACCCTTTTCCAAACAAAAAAGGAACAAGGGTATATAAAGGCTCAGAGGGGAGGTGAAATTTGCTAGTGGGGTAACTTTCGATGTTCACTAGTGGTATATATATGGTATGACAAAATTTAATACAATATGGTAGAGAAATTAATTCGTACATGAGAAAAAAGGATATAAAAGCTTTTAAATTTGGGAAAACATAAAAATAGGTTGGACAAATAAAAACTGAATGAGGCAGCTTTTTAAGTTTCACTCCTCTGTCTTTGTGTAGAAATAACGGGAGAGACTATGTGATGGCGGGGTTTACTGTTTTCAAGGATTCTCCCAAAGGGATTTGGGAATGGGAAACCTGCCGTTGTTTTTTTTAATCGTATTCGAAACAGCGATCAATGCGTTTCGAGGCACTTGC